TACATCAAGAAGCATCTTTCCATCATACACTGCCCAAGTTTCAATAAGATAGCCCAACAAACAAATGAGACACAATTCCCTAGATCAAGAGGAAGAGCCCCTCACCAACGTCAAGGCACCTGCCTTGAGGTCTGCTCGCTTACGGAAATTTTGCTCGCATATGGAAGCAAAAAATTGACCCATCGACTGCTCGTATTTGGAAAAACTCGCATATGGATGTGCTCGCAAGTAGAGGTTCCACTGCATATAATAATAATAATAATAATAATAATAATAATAAGAATAATAATAAGAAGAAGAATACGTAATAATAAGTTCCCTTGAAGTATGAAAAATAAGTCCACCCCTGACAGTGATGTGATAAGATGAGATAACATTTGACAAGAGCTGGTATTAAGAAGAAAGAAAGAAGGAACACTACAACAGGCCTACTGACCCATGCGAAACAGGTCCATACCACCCCACCAGCCTAGAACAATGACCACCTAGTCAGGTCACTTCCACTTAAGGAAGGAGCACGGCACCAGACCTGGTAGCCCAAGCTTGTCAGGTCCAACTCACACCCACCCACACCCACTCATGTATTTATCTAACCTATTTTTAGAACTACACAACGTCTTAGCATCTATGATGGTACTCGGGAGTTTGTTCCACTTATCCACAACTCCCTTACCAAACCAGTGCTTTCCTATATCCTTCCTGAATATGAACTTTTCCAACTTGAGGCCATTGCTGCGAGTCCTGTCTTGGCTGGATATTTTCAGCACTCTATTTTCATCCACTTTATTTTTTCCTGTTTTCCATTTATACACCTCAATCATATCCTCCCTAATTCTTTCCCTTTCTAGAGAGTGCAGATTCAGGGCCCTCAGTCTATCCTCATAAGGAAGATTTCTGATACATGGGATCAACTTTGTCATCCTTCTCTGTACGTTTTCCAGTGCATTTACAGTGGTCCCTCAATAATCATCCGGCTCGATAGTCGTCCTTTTCGGAAACCATCGCGTTATTTTCGTCCAAACATTGGCTCACAAATGGTCGGTTGACTCGCTGATCGTCCTTCATCCGAGATGCGTACTCACGCTCTGAGCCGCCTCGTCCCCCTTCCCAGCCAGTGTGCCATTGTTTACCAGTGAGCGACGGTCCCCTCACTTGTTCATATGAAATACAGTGGACCCCCGGTTCGCGAAGCCATCGGTATCCGATAAATCCAGTATCCAAAGCATTATATCGCCAAAAATTTGCCTCGGTTCCCATTACAAAACCCGGTATGCAATACGATTCGTACGAGACGTGTCTAGTGTTTACAAGCCAGCCAGTGTGCGCGCATCTAAGGATACATTCGGTTTCATTCTATATTATCCATATTATCACTGTTTTTGGTGCTTGTTTCTGCAAAATAAGTCACCATGGGCCCCAAGAAAGCTTCTAGTGCCAACCCATCGAGACCAAGGGTGCTTATGACTATTGAAATTAAGGAAATGTGTGCAAAGTGGCTTGAAGTGCAAACCTTTTTTGATGAAAATCACCCTGACACAGCTACTGCAAGCCGTGTTGGCAACCTGTACACTGACAATGTTGTGAACCACTTTAGGAAAGTCATAAAGGAACGAGAGGTACAGGCCTCTATGGACATGTATGTTGTGCGACAGAAGTCCAGTGACTCTCAAGCTGGTCCTAGTGGCATTAAAAGAAGAAGGAAAGTAACCCCGGAAAAGGACTTGCTACCTCAAGTCGTAATGGAGGGGGATTCCCCTTCTAAACATTAAAAACTTCGACACTCTCCCCTCCTCCCATCCCATCAATCATCACCAGATCTTCATTAAAGGTAAGTGTCAATTATTCTATTGTGATTATTCTATTGTTATTATTGTTATTGTAATTATTATATTGCATTAAACTTAATATATCATGTGGTAAAAGTTTTTTTTCATACTTTTGGGTGTCTTGCACGGATTAATTTGATTTCCGTTATTTCTTATGGGGAATATTGATTAGCTTTCCGATAATTTTGGTTTACGATGAGCTCTCAGGAACGGATTAATATCGTGAACCGGGGGTCCACTGTATTTCATAATATTCCATTCATTTTAGTGCTTGCAAGTGCTAAATAAGCTACCATGGCTCCAAAGAAAGCTCCTAGTGCCAAGCCTTTGGTAAAAAAAAGGTGAGAAATACAGTTGAATTTAAGAAAAACATTGACCAATATGAAAGTGGCGTACGTGTGGCCGAACTGGCCAAGATGTATAACAAATCCCGTACAACCATATCTTCCATCGTGGCCAAGAAAAAGGAAATCAAAGAAGCTGTTGTTGTAAAGGGGGTAAATATGCTGACAAAAATGAGATCACCAGTACTCAAAGATGTTGAGAAGTTATTATTGGTGTGGATAAATGAGAAACAATTAGCAGGAGATAGTCTTATGATGTCGATTATTTGTGAAAAGGCTAGGCAGCTGCATGACGATTTGGTAAAGAAATTGCCTGCAACGAGTACTGATAATTGTGAATTTAAGGTCAGCAAAGGTTGGTTTGAGAGATTTAAGAAGCGTAGTGGCATACACAGTGTGATAAGGCATGGTGAAATGTGGGGTAGGATGGAAAGATTTATGGAGAAACATCACCCTAAGAAGGATGTTGCAAGCCATATTGGCAACTTGTACAGTGACAGAATCTTGGCCCATTTTAGGGAAGTTTTAAAGAGACGCCAGAAACAGAGCTCTCTGGACACTTGTTTTGTGAGACAGGACTCCAGTGACTCTCAAGGTGGTCCTAGTGGCATTAAGAAACAGAGAAGTAACCCCAGAAAAGCACTTGATACCTGAAGTGTTGATGGAAGGGGATTCCCCTTCCAAACAGTAACTAATTCAATCTCCTCCTCCAGTCTTCCATACACTAAGATGAATCACCATAATGGTGTTATGATGTTAATGTTTCATTCATCATGTCCCATTGTATTGTTTATGTACTACATCTATATTTCATGTAAAAAAAAATTTTTGTTTTAATTAATACTTCTGGGTGTCAGGAACGGATTAATTGTATTTACATTATTTCTTATGGGGAAAATTGATTCGAAAATTGTCTATTTCGATGATCATCGCACTTCCAGGAACGGATTAACGACGATAAATGAGGGACCACTGTATATCCATTCTGTAATATGGTGACCAGAACTGTGCAGCATAATCTAAATGAGGCCTAACCAGGGATATATAGAGTTGAAGAACAGTTTGAGGACTTCTATTATTAATACTTCTTGATATGAAGCCAAGAATTCTGTTAGCTTCATTGTGAACACTTATGCACTGTTGTTTTGGTTTCAGATTACTGCTAACCAAACTCCTAAATCCTTTTCTAAGTCAGTAGTATTAAGATCTACACTATTCAGTTTATAAGTGGCATTGTTATTGTCCTGTCCAACATTTAGCACATTGCATTTGCATTTGATGAGCATGTGTGAGGGTGTGGTGATATGACTTGATAAGAAAAGATTAGAGGTGACATTTGATGAGCATCGGCCCTTGCTTTGTTTTCACTGGCACACAAACATGTCTGTCTGTTTGTCTGTCTATCTGTCTATCAGTCTAGCTCTGTCTCAGAGAGAGCCACAAGACTGCATCATCACGTTTACTCATATCTTCAAGCAGAGTATAGCACTTTGTCTGGATTTTTTGGGTTATCCTAGGTAATTTACACTATGTATACTTGTATTTATGTGTACCTGTGAGACAGAGATAGACAGACAGACAGAGACAGACAGACAGAGACAGATAGACAGAGACGAAGACAGAGATAGACATCGACACAGACAAACAAATGGAACCAGGCCGCCAGCAGCCGGCCAGCCAGCTGGCCAGCCAGCCAGCCAGCCAGTCAGCGAGCCTGCTGAACAAGTATTATGTTCCAGAATTGTTTCTCTTTACTTAGGGCATAGGTTATAAGACATTCTGAAAGTGGGTTGCACAAATGTTGCACACGGGTTATTATCAAGGTTTTTTGATATTTCCTTGACCACTTATGGCCACATCCATCTCAGAGCCACTAAACTTGGGGTCAACATCACTTTCTTCTTAAAATGGGATTGTTAATACTACATGAAATCAGTGAATCGCAGGTGTTTGCCGCACTGTTTGCTCTAGCTGGCACTCATTTGAACTGGTGCTCCACAAGGTACTAAGTGGTCCCAGATTTTTTAATACGGTGCACACTGAGTGTTATGACCTATTCTATGCTGACAAGGCATCTCAGGCCAATCGTGCCATATTTGAAGGCAGGAAAATAAAACGTTTATATATGTTGTGATTGTGAAAAGAGTGGAGATGCATGCTTTAGACCCTATTTCAGAGGACTACTGCTAGATTTGTCAGGGTCCCATTCAATGAAAAAGTCTGCTAGTTTAGCAGCAACATGGAACTGATCACATAATTGCTGCAATGTTAACCGTTTTTCTTCACGTTCTTCATCTTCTGTTATCTGGCTCCCTTGTATCTGTGCATTGAGCTCTGGCAACATTTCCTCTGGACTCCTGTCATCATCATCCTCCTCCTCTAAGAGCTCATTCACATCTTCCTTCATATCTTCAAAGCCATCACCTGGTAATCTCCTTGCTAGCTGAACAATTTCCTGAACCTGACTCTCAGGCAAGGGAAAACCAGTGAAAGAATTAACTACAGAAGGTTATAATTTTCCCCAGCCTGCATTTAATGTTGATTGGGGCACTTCATTCCATGCACTTCTAGCATAGCTGATGGCATCTGCATCTGGGGATTATTACCTTCACATTGATTTCATAGTATTTATCAACAGTAATTTCCATCATCTATTTATTGCTCCATTTATTGGTTTGATTTACATTTTAAGGGCTTTACAGTTATTTTTATTTTCTGTTTTGAATAAGACTCTTTTTCACTAATCTTTTTGTAGATGGAAACATATAGAGATATACAGTACCTTCTTTTGCTCTTGCCTGCTGACTAATATATAGTTTCATATCTTCAGGTTGTCTGTCTGGGTCAAAGGTTATGCATATTTACATACCCGGGATTATTCAAATGCAATCAATTCCTTCAGACAGCTAGAGGAGAATTCTGCTCTTAGTAGAAATGTTGACATTTTAGCTACCTTGGGCGAAACATATTATCTTGCTGGAGACTCAAAGAATGCCCTTACAATGCTTCAGAGGGTAAGTTGATGTGAAATTGACAGTTGCTAAATACATTGCATTTTTTCTACTGTAAGCTTAAGCTATTTTAATTGTGCATGCACTGTAGTGAACTTTTTTTTTTTTAAACTCTTGAATATATGTATTGGAAAATGTACTTTTACAAAACTACTTTTTCACAAGAGAGCTCAAACTGATCATTTAGTAATATACAGAGTAATTGAAAAGAAATACAACCCTTGGAGAATGCATGTTTTTTTTTTTTTTAACTCGATGGCTGTCTCCATTCAATCGCTGTCTTTCCAGAAATGTGGTGACAGCACTAACAGATTACACTCTACCTGCAATATCCCCACCCCTTTTTTCAGAGTACAGGCACTGACCTTCCTGCCTCCAAGATTCAAGTCATGCTAACCATTTATCTGAATCCCTTCATGAAAATTACTGTGCTCACTCTCCAACAGCAACATTCATGCAAGCCCACTGAATGCTCAGCACCTAAAACTTGAAGCTTCTTTTACTCCCCATCCTTCCAACCATTCCTGAGATGACCCCTGACTCTCCTACCTTCCACTCCAGATTAACACTTAAACTGTCCAAAAGTAGATCTACGTTTACTTGTGCAGTGCTCCAAATATTTTGAAAAAAAAAAAAAAAACTTTTTTTTTAATTAAAGAGGACAATTTTCTGTTGTAAGACAAAAAAAAAAGTTTTAGGACCAATACTTACCGAGATACAAGACCACGAAGTTGGTGCTGGATGCTCACCTGATGGCAACATCGAGTCCTGCCACGTGCAGAAGTGTTGCCAATATACCTTTTTTCCCTCATTTTTATTTTAATTTATATAATTTTTGTTTGGATAATTACAGTTTATAATAGTTTTTGTGATTTCATAGCCAATCTTTGTTCTGACACTAATATTAGGTAATGAAATAGTACTCAAATAGTCACAATCACACTGACAGGTGAACATTTTCACCTGCCTTGGTCATTTACTATTGTCTAGAAATATATACAAAGTATTTATAGGTCTCGGTAATGTTTTAGACATGCTGGAGCATATATGAAACTTCTTGAAGCATAGTGTTTATGATAAGTGTCACTAAACTGCTGACAGGGTAAGCAGTGGAGTGACACGATGATAGTGCACTGCTGCAGGGAACCCTGGCTTTATTTGTTTTCACTGTTACACACAAACATGCATGTCTATCTGTCTAGCTCTGCTTATCTGTCTTTCTGTCTGCCTGTGTGTGTGTGTGTGTGTGTGTGTGTGTGTGTGTGTGTGTGTGTGTGTGTGTGTGTGTGTGTGTGTCTGTCTGTCTGTCTGTCTGTGTGTTTCAGTCTTTCTGTTTGCATGTGTGTGGATTTCTTTCTGTCTGCCTGTGTGTGTGTCTTTCCATCTGCTTGTGTCTGTCTCAGAGAGTGGCTCGTAAACCAACAGGTATTACACATGATGCAGAAGTGACAATGCGTATTACTTGCCAGTCATGCTTATTATGTCTTATACTGTATCTACAAGCATGGTACATATAGCACTTTGCCTGGAATGTTTGGGTTATCTTAGGTAATTTACACTATGTATAATTGAACTTATGTGTACATGTGAGATAGAGACAGAGATAGGCAGAGATATAGACAGATAGTGGTATCAGAAATGAAAGGATGTTGCACAAATGTTACACATGGGTTATTATTGAGGTTTTTGATATTTCCTCGACCACTTGTGGCCACACCCATCTCTTTCCTCTTAACCTATTAACTGTCCAAACGTAGATCTATGTTCGCTCGTGTAGCACTCTGAACGTAGATCTACATGCTTTCAAGTGGAGGAAATCAAGGTGGGAGTGCTACACTTATATATGTAGATCTACATTTGGACAGTTAATGGGTTAAAAGGGGAGTGTTAATACAACATGACATCAGAGAATCCCTGGTGTTTGCCACACTATTTGCTCTAGCTAGTGCTCAGTTGAACTGGTGCTCCCACAAGGTACTAAGTGGTCCCAGATTTTTTTAATACTGCACACACCAAGTGTTAAAACCCATTCTTTACTGACCAGGCATCTCAGGCCAATCATGCCAAAATTTGGAGGTAGGAAAAATAAAACATAGATCTACGTTTGGAGCGCTAGCGGTACAAACGTAGATCTACGTTTGGACAATTTAAGGGTTAATACACCCTCTTTGTCATCCTATCCCTCTTCATCCTCTCTACATGCCCAACCACTTAAACAACCTTTACCTCCCCCTTTCCCCTTCAGCCCTCTTGAGGATTACTTGGTGGACCCTACATCACCTTTTCATTTCTATGCTTCGAATTCTCTGCATAGTATACAGACTACAGACATATTCATTCAAGTAACTGCTCCTTCAGCTATAAACAGGGTATCACTAATTAACATCAGTATTGCTTATATGCAGATTGTACATGTTTACTGTCCATTATTAAATAGTGATTCTTGTGGGCGAGGGGCTTGGACTTCCAGCAAGCATGCGTGAGCGTGTTGGATAGGAGTGAATGAAGACGAATGGTATTTGGGCCCTGACGAGCTGTTGGAGTGTGAGCAGGGTAATATTTAGTGAAGGGATTCAGGGAAACCAGTTATTTTATATAGCTGGACTTGAATCCTGGAAATGGGAAGTACAAAGCCTGCACTTTAAAGGAGGGGTTTGGGATATTGGCAGTTTGGAGGGATATGTTGTGTATCTTTATACGTATATACTTCTAAACTGTTGTATTCTGAGCACCTCTGCAAAATATTATACAGTGATTATGTGTGAGTGAGGTGAAAGTGTTGAATGATGATGATGAAAGTATTTTTTGGGGGGGATTTTCTTTCTTTTTGGGTCACCTTGCCTCGGTGGGAGACGGCCGACTTGTTAAAAAAAAAAAATTCATTGTTAAAGAATTTGAGTTCTGAACTACTGTACTGATTGTTCATGGATAGTTTCTTTATTTCTGATTCATAAATTATTTGACACTTCAGTAAAAATTACCACGTCTACACAAATAACCCTCACCTAAGAGAATGAAATTTGTGACGACTTTTCAGTCAGACTAGTTAATGGTTCAATCACAGTATTGTGCCTTTTTATTCTCTACTGAATCTACGTTTGGAGGCTAAAGTTCAGAGGGCCATTTGAATTGTGATGTCTGTGCACTTATGCTAAGATAGCTAATAAATGAATGATGAAAGTTTCCTGTTTTGGGTCACCCTTCCTTGGTGGATGTTAGCTGATATGGTATAAAATTTTTTTTAAGATTTCTTGAAATGCATAAATTTAAAATTCCTGAAGTTGGTACAACTGAGAGCCCTGTCAGTCTGAAACTGAAGGAGAAAGTGTAATAGATTGCTGTGCTCTGTAGCTTCTGAATTTCTTTATGAACTTGGTATAATTTTTTTGTAGGCTCATTCAGTGAATCACCTCAACCTGCGTGGTTCAGATTTGCTGGCATGCTTGTTGGCAGCAGATAAGAGAAATCGTGAACTGGAAGAACTAGCCATGGCAACAACAGCTGTGACTGATGCAGCACCTCAACCATGGATCACGATGGGATATTATTGCCAGCTTAGTAAAAGAACTACAAAAGCCATCTATTTTGCACATAAGGTAAAGGAATTAATGATTATATATAATACTGTGAATGGAGACGAATGGTTTTTGGGACCTGATGAGCTGTTGGAGTATGAGCAAGGTAATATTTTGTGAAGGGCTTCAGGGTAACTGGTTAGCTGGATTTGAGTCCTGGAAATGGGAAGTACAATGCCTGCACTTTAAAGGAGGGGTTTGGGATATTGGCTGTTTGGAGGGACATCTAAGCTGTCATATCTGAGTGCCTCTGCAAAGACAGTGATTATGTATGAGTGCTGGTGAAAGTGTTGAATGATGAAAGTTTTATTCTTTCTTTTTGGGTTTTTCTTTCCTTTTGAGTTACCCTGCCTCTGTGGGAAATGGCCAATGTATTGAAAAAAAAAAAGTGTACTGTATATTATGCAATGATCCCTGCTGAATGACCTGTCACATAATGTAATTTCGAATGACGACCAGAAAAACCTAGTACCATTCCTCATTGAACAACTAAATTATAATGTGTGAGCCATAGTTCTCTTCCCCCCACTAATGGTCTCTTCCTTGTACAATGATCAGATTATATTTATAAGTACAGCCTCTCCTCACTTAATGATGGAGTTCCATTCCTAAAACCACGTTGGTAAATGAATTCATTGCTATGAAGGAGTATACTATAGTGGTAGTGCATATGTGTCAACCATCTTTGATATTCCACAAATAACCTGCACATAGAAGAGAGGAGCTTACGACAATGTTTCGGTCCGACTTGGACCATTTACAAAGTCACACATCTCAGATATTGTTTTAATGTCACCTTTGCACCATTTATAACATTTTTAGTATATTTTTAAATGTTTATACAGTAGTGTACTGTATATTGTAATAAACAAAATATTGGAAATCAACTCTAATATACAGTATTTAGGTATGTATACTGGTCAGAGAGTCTGTTGTAAGTCTGAGTCATCAGTAAATGAGTACATCGCTAAGTGAGAAGCTGTACAGCATTGTTCATCGCTTTGCAAGTTTAAGATGGTACAGAATCATCTGTTTCTTGCATCAATGAGCAACTCACTTATTTTCATATCCTCTGTATTAGTAGTTAAAATATGAGGAAAATGTTCACAGATGCAAACACACACATGCAAAAATGTTGAGCCCGAAGTTAAGACTCGACCCCTGCAACCACAATTAGGTGAGTACACAAAAAAAAAATACATGCATGCACAATTACACAAACCTGCAAAGCATACATGCATGCATACACATAAACCACACACACATGCACACAGACCACGCACACATGCACACACACACACTGCACGCACACACAGCACGCACATGCACAGCATGTGCACACAGCATGCATACACACACACAGCATGTGCACACAGCACGCATACACACACACAGCATGCACGCACACACATAGCACAAATGCGAGGTCATGAAGATTGGGGAAGGGCAAAGAAGACCGCAGACACAGTGTAGTCTAGGTGGCCAAAGACTGCAAACCTCACTCAAGGAAAAAGATCTTGGGGTGAGTATAATACTGAGCACATCTCCAGAGGCGCACATTAATCAGATAACTGCTGCAGCGTATGGGCATCTGGCAAACCTAAGGATAGCGTTCTGATACCTCAGTAAGGAATCGTTCAAGACTCTGTACACCATATACATCAAGCCCATACTGGAGTACGCAGCACCAGTTTGGAATCTACACCTGGTCAAGCATGTCAGTAAATGAGAGAAAGTGCAAAAAGTTTGCAACAAGACTAGTCCCAAAGCTAAGGGGATTGTCATACAAAGCAAGGTTAAGGGAAATTGGCCTGACGACACTGGAGGACAGGAGGGTCAGGGGAGACATGATAACGACATATAAAATACTGTGCAGAATAGACAAAGTGGACAAATACAGGATGTTCCAGAGATGTGACACAGAAACAAGGGGCCACAATTGGAAGTTGAAGCCTCATATGAGTCAAAAGGATATTAGGAAGTATTTCTTCAGTCATAGAGTTGTCAGGCAGTGGAATAGCCTAGAAAGTGATGTAGTGGAGGCAGGAACCATACACAGTTTTAAGACAAGGTTTGATAAAGCTCATGGAGCGATGAGAGAGAGGATCCAGTAGCAATCAGCGAAGAGGCGGGGCCAGGAGCTATGACTCGACCCCTGCAACCACAAATAGATGAGTACGTACACACACACACACACATGTACACACACATACACACACATACACACAGGTACACACACACATACACACACACATGCACACACACACATGCACACACACACATGCACACACACACATGCACACACACACATGCACACACACACATGCACACACACACATGCACACACACACATGCACACACACACATGCACACACACATGCACACACTCATGCACACACACACATGCACACACACACATGCACACACACACATGCACACACACATGCACACACACATGCACACACACATGCACACACATGCACACACATGCACACACACATGCACACACACACGTACACACACACTAAACTACAGACCAGTGTCACTGACATGTATAGCATGCAAAATCATGGAAAAGATTGTCAGGAGAAGAATGGTGGAACATCTAGAAAGGAATGATCTCATCACCAGCAGCCAACATGGTTTCAGAGACGGGAAATCCTGTGTCACAAACCTACTGGAGTTCTATGACATGGTGACAGCAGTAAGACAAGAAAGAGAGGGGTGGGTAGATTGCATTTTCTTGGACTGCAAGAAGGCATTTGACACAGTACCACACAAGAGATTAGTGCAAAAACTGGAGGACCAAGCAGGGATAACAGGGAAGGCACTGCAATGGATCAGGGAATACTTGTCAGGAAGACAGCAGCGAGTAATGGTACGTGCCGAGGTGTCAGAGTGGGCACCTGTGACCAGCGGGGTACCACAGGGGTCAGTCCTAGGACCAGTGCTGTTTCTGGTATTTGTGAACGACATGACGGAAGGAATAAACTCCGAGGTGTCCCTGTTTGCAGATGACGTGAAGTTGATGAGAAGAGTTCATTCGATCGAAGACCAGGCGGAAATACAAAGGGATCTGGACAGGCTGCAGACCTGGTCCAGCAACTGGCTCCTGGAGTTCAATCCCACCAAGTGCAAAGTCATGAGGATTGGGGAAGGGCAAAGAAGACTACAGACGGAGTACAATCTAGGGGGCCAGAGACTACAAACATCACTCAAGGAAAAAGATCTTGGGGCGAGTATAACACCAGGCACATCTCCTGAAGCGCACATCAACCAAATAACTGCTGCAGCATATGGGCGCCTGGCAAACCTCAGAACAGCATTCCGACATCTTAATAAGGAATCGTTCAGGACCCTGTACACCGTGTACGTTAGGCCCATATTGGAGTATGCGGCACCAGTTTGGAACCCACACCTAGCCAAGCATGTAAAGAAACTAGAGAAAGTGCAAAGGTTTGCAACAAGACTAGTCCCAGAGTTAAGAGGTATGTCCTATGAGGAGAGGTTAAGGGAAATCAACCTGACGACACTGGAGGACAGGAGAGATAGGGGGGACATGATAACGACTTACAAAATACTGAGAGGAATTGACAAGGTGGACAAAGACAGGATGTTCCAGAGACTGGACACAGCAACACGGGGACACAGTTGGAAGCTAAAGACACAGATGAATCAAAGGGATGTTAGGAAGTATTTCTTCAGCCACAGAGTAGTCAGGAAGTGGAATAGTTTGGGAAGCGATGTAGTGGAGGCAGGATCCATACATAGCTTTAAGCAGAAGTACGATAAAGCTCATGGTTCAGGGAGAGTGACCTAGTAGCGACCAGTGAAGAGGCGGGGCCAGGAGCTCGGACTCGACCCCCGCAACCTCAACTAGGTGAGTACACACACACACACACACACACACACACACACACACACACACACACACACACACACACACACACACACACACACACACACACACACACACACTCGCACACACACACACACTCGCACACACACACACACTCGCGCGCACACACACACACACACACACACACACACACACACACACACACACACACACACACTCACACTCACACACACACACACACTTGCACACACACACACACACTCGCACACACTCACACTCGCACACACTCACACTCGCACACACTCACACTCGCACACACTCACACTCGCACACACTCACACTCGCTCACACTCGCGCGCGCGCGCGCACACACACACACACACACACACACACACACACACACACACACACACACACACACACACACACACACACACACTCACACTCACACTCACTCACACTCACACACACACTCACACTCACTCACACTCACACACACACACTCACTCACACTCACACTCACACACACACACACACACACACACACACACACACACACACACACACACACACACACACACACTCTCACTCTCTCACTCTCTCACTCTCTCACTCTCTCACTCTCTCACTCTCTCACTCTCTCACTCTCTCACTCTCTCTCTCTCTCTCTCTCTCTCTCTCTCTCTCTCTCTCTCTCTCTCTCTCTCTCTCTCTCTCTCTGAGGTACACATAAGTAAAGTTATCATACATAGTATAAATTACCTAGGATAACCCAAATAATCCAGACAAAGTGCTATACAGTGGATCTGTGCTCCAGTGCCCAAAATTAATAATATTAACAATAATTATTATTATTATTATTACAATAATCCATATGTACTAATATTAAAAATATTATTATTAAACTATAATGTAATAATCGTGTCCACTCATTACTTACCTTAAAATATCTGTAGTCTTAATGTAGAGTGAGAGGTGAGTAAACAAGATTAAATGAATAAACGAATGAGTGTGTAGAAGATTGGGGAGTTATGTAAACAAACGTTGTTGTTACCAGCTCTGACATGAATGATTCCTGTTCACTCTGTCAAGCCGACCAGAAAAACATCTCATATTTGTTAATTTATATGTTTATATGTTATGTAGCATGTTTATTATATAATTTTGAAAAAGAAATCATACATGGATTAAGCAAAATGTCTATATCAACGTTTTATACACATTTAATGTGCCTCAGTGATTATTGTGTTATTATCATTATTAATATGGCATCTTCAAGACCAATTACACTCTTAATGAGTGGCTCTGAGACAGACAAGCAGACAGAAAGACAGACAGACAGACACAGGTAGACAGACAGACACTCAGGTAGACAGACACACAGGTAGACAGAAAGACACACACAGATAGACATAAAGAGAGACACATAGGTAGACAGAAAGACAGACACACAGGTAGACATAGACACAGGCAGACAGAAAGACAGACACTCATTTAGATAGATAAACAGACACACAGAGATACACAGATATATAGGCAGACAGATACAGACAGGTTTATGTGCAACAGTGAAAACTAATAGAGAGTTCGAGAGTAAGAGCCTTTCTTGCCACAGACTTTATCTTAGGGGCCATGGTGAAATTTACTGTCCAGTTAGTACAGTTAATGCAGTATGATGCTGCTGATAGGACAGGGTTACTTAAACTGATGCCGTCTGCATGACGCATTGCCGCCACGAGTACGTATTGTCAAATATTGTACAGTGGTGTGCATCAGCCGGCCCAGCCCAGCTGCCAGATGCACGGTCGTAAGTCGAGTGGACATATGTCGAGCAGGTTGTAAGTCGGATGGTAGGTGTACTTCCTAACATCCCTTTGGTCCATCTGAGTCTTCAGTTTCCAACTGTGACCCGTCGTTGCTGTGTCCCGTCGTTGCTGTGTCCCATCTCTGGAACATCCTGTCTCTGTCCACCATGTCTATACCTCTCAGTATTTTATATGTCGTTATCATATCCCCCCTAACTCTCCTGTCTTCCAGTGTCGTCAGGTTGCTTTCTGTTAACCTCTCCTCATAGGACATAACACAGTTATAGAAAAGTTGAAGGTTTGCTACACAAATGCAAATGGAATAATGAAAAATGTGAGGAGTGGCATGAAAGAATAAAGGAGATGTCCCCAGACATCATAGCAGTCACAGACAAAACTCAGTGGGACAATAACAGATGCAATCTTCCCACCTGGATATCAGATCCTGAGGAACGATAGGAGCAGAGGGAGAGGAGGGGTTGCACTGCTCATTGAAAACCGATGGGGATATCAGGAAATGGAAGGAATGGATGAGATTGGAGAAAGGGATTACATAGTAGGTTCAGTTCAGTTAGGGGAACATAAGGTAGTCATTGCAGTGATGTATAACCCACCACAGAACTGCAGGAGGCCAAGAGAGGAATATGATGAGTGCAACAGAGCAATGGTGGGCACACTAGCTGAGGTGGCAAGAAGAGCTCAATCGAGTAGAGCAAAGCTACTGGTTATGGGCGACTTCAACCACGAAGAGATTGATTGGGAAAACCTAGAGCCACATTGGGGTCCCGAAACATGGAGAGCCAAGATGATGGATGTGGTACTGGAAAACCTCATGCACCAACATGTTAGGGACACTACCAGTGAGAGAGAGGGAAGGATGAACCAGCAAGACTGGACCATGTGTTCCCCCTGAGTAGCTCAGATATTGAGGACATCACATATGAAAGACCCCTTGGAGCTAGTGACCACGTGGTTCTGAGCTTTGAATACATCGTAGAGCTGCAAGTGGAGAGGGTAACAGGAGTAGAAAGGGAAAAGCCAAACTATAAAAGGGGGGACTACACAGGTATGAGGACCTTCCTGCAGGAGGTTCAATGGGAAAGAGAGTTGGTAGGAAAGTTGGTAAACGAAATGATGGACTACGTAACAACAAAATGCAAAGAGGCAGAGGAAGGGTTTGTTCCCAAGGGTAACAAATAATGGGAAGACCAGAACGAGCCCTTGGTTTACCCGAAGGTGTAGGGAGGCAAAAACTAAGTGCGCTAGAGAATGGAAAAAGTACAGAAGGCAAATGACCCAGGAAAATATAGAAATTAGTCATTGAGCCAGAAACGAGTATGCACAGATGAAGAGCACCGTAGTCGTGGAGATTCTGAAGCAGAAGCAAGGAGCCTGGCGCTTATATAGTAACATCAGGTGCAGCAGACGAGGGCATAGTCACTGGTAGGCGGGATTCCCCAGTGGAAGTAGGTCCTTCCCGAAGAGATGGGTTAGTTGTAGTAGTAGTTGTCGTAGTTGTGAAGGTTATGTACATGTCCTCAGAATCAAGATTCCATGATGTTGCAGTGTCTGACAAGTTGTGCAAGAATGGTATATAATACTGACAAGATGAAATTAAGACACATGTGCAACATCTGGGTATCTGCTTCAGAATCTCCACGACTATGGTGCTCTTCGCACCTACTCCTAGGTTGAGGGACTGATTACCTCATCTTCTGTATATAGTCCTACTGTCTTCAAGTTATGTCCTAGAATTTGTATTGATAAAGCCACTGGATGGCGAAACGTCTACAATAAAGATACCCAGATGTTGCACATGTGTCTTAATTTCATCTTGTCGGTATTATATACCATTCTTGCACAACTTGTCAGACACTGCAACATCATGGAATCTTGATTCTGAGGACATGTACATAACCTTCACGACTACGACAACTACTACTACAACTAACCCATCTCTTTGGGAAGGACCTACTTCCACTGGGGAATCCCGCCTACCAGTGACTATGCCCTTGTCTGCTGCACCTGACGTTACTATATAAGCGCCAGGCTCCTTGCTTCTGCTTCAGAATCTCCACGACTACGGTGCTCTTCGCACCTACTCCTAGGTTGAGGGACTGATTACCTCATCTTCTGTATATAGTCCTACTGTCTTCAAGTTATGTCCTAGAATTTGTATTGATAAAGCCACTGGATGGTGAAACATCCACAATAAAGATACCCAGATGTTGCACATGTGTCTTAATTATTTCTATGTCGTTTAAATTTCCCATTATAAGTAACTTCATTTTAGCTCTAATGTACTCCTAGCTGCTTCTGCTATAACTTCAGCCATCACTCAGCTGTCTTCATATTCCTGCCTCAGTCTTCTGTTGTTAGTTGGTGGTTTGTATATCACTGCAACTACTATTTTGATTCTCCCAGCCTTAACTGAGCACAATATGAAATTGTTTTCCTTTAGTCTGTTTATTTCTCTCATCTCTTCAAAACTCCATTGATTTCTGATTAATAGTGCCTTTCATCTCCTGTTTCTTCTATCTTTCCTTAACCCTTTCAGGGTTGGTGCAGTACTAGTATGGCTTGCACGCCAAGGGTTGGTGCCGTACTAGTACGCATAAATTCTAGCGCCTTCAAATCTTGCGAGAGAAAGCTGGTAGGCCTACATATGAAAGAATGGGTCTATGTGGTCAGTGTGCGCAGTATAAAAAAAATCCTGCAGCACACAGTGCATAATGAGTAAAAAAAAACTCCGACCATGTTTTTGGTTTAAAACAGCGACTTTGCAGTGTATTTTCATATGCTATTTATGATTGTATTCTAGTTTTCCTGGTCTCATTTTATAGAATGGAAGACATATTACGGAAATTGAGATGATTTTGATTGGTTTCACAATGAAAAGTACCTTGAAATTGAGCTCAAAATAGCAGAAATGTTTGATTTTTTGCCAAAGTTCAAAAGTAAACAAAACATGCCATGCGTCTAATACATGTCAACTGGTGAGTCTAATATTCTTTCACAAATGCACTGATATTATTTATACCATTTCTACACCATTTCTACACTAATGCTGTAGTCTGCATAGCAGTAAATCTTGTATTTTTTGTGAGGATAAAAATTCAAAGTGGAAAGCAAAAGAAATGTAACAGAGGCCTGGGGACATAAGTAATGAACAGAGGAAATGTTATTTTAGTGCCAGCAATATCTGTCTTGTTTATTCTGGACCCTATTTGGAAATTGGCATCTTTTGAAATTTGTGTGAAATTGGCAATATTGCCAATTTCTAACCACTTTATTGGATAGTTAAAATCGGTAAATGGGTGGTTTCTTGTACTCATTCGATAGAAAAAATGGAGTTCTAGCAAAATAGTTATGACTTTTGGCAATTGGTACATTGGAGTTGGCCGAAAATAGGCTCAAAGTAGGCAAAATTGCTGATGCGTCAACATCGTTGAGACCGCTAACTTCGCGAGAGCATAGTTCCGTAAGTTTTCCATCAGATTTCATACTTTTGGTGTCATTATGATCGGGAAAAGATTCTCTATCATTCCATAAGATTTTTTTTTTTTTTTTTTTCAAAAAAATTTCCGACCATGAGAACAAGTTCAGGAGAGGGCCTGCCGACCCTGTAAGGGTTAGTGCTTGGTACGTATTCTGCTGGAAATATGTCATCTGATATAATTCCTTTCAATTGGGCCTTAATGATAATAACTATTATGTCGGGAGTGACTTCAGCTGTTCTTTCTGTCAACTCATTGCTCTTATTAGTATACTGCATTCTGGTATTACTTTTCCTTTCCACCTGAAGAGTGTATAATGTAACAAACCTGTTTCAAACTTTTTTTTTTTCAGGCCTGTTCCATCAACCCACGTAGTGTTGAAGGCCTTCTTCTCAAGGGGACATTGCTTCTGGAACTAAAAAAGTTACAAGAAGCTGTCATGCATTTCCGAGAAGCAATGCAGATTGCACCACATAGGTTCGAACCGCACAAAGTAAGTGATGAAGTAGTATTGTGCTTCACCATTGTTGTTATTCAGACATAACTTGAAATAAAAAAACTCTTCTAATTTGTGCTATTATGTGATTTAGGCAATATTAAGTATCCTATTTTTAAATTGTCTAAACAGGGATTGGTAGATTGTTATCTTGCAATGCATCGATCCAGAGAAGCTGTGACAATAGCTAGCAATGCATGCAAGTTACTTGGCCAAACTCCAAGGGCTCTCACG